CGCATTCAACAATCAATTACCCAAGCCGTTGCAGAAGCTGTTCCCATGACACACTACAAAGTACGTTACTCTCCGTCCTTCAGAAAGAACAAAAAGACTGCTCACCTGTTACAGACACCGTTTCCTAGCAAACCAAAACAGACTAAACATTATCTGATGGGACCTAACTATCTTACGAACACATATCATCCATAGCCTAGATGATGACCATGCCCGACATTGGCAATCAATCATAAACACAACAGATGTCCAGCGTACAAGAGATCCCAAAGCATTCTGGTCATCCATTCGGAGACTTATAGGCACCCCTTAATTCACAAGTTTCAGACACATTAATCACAGCAACAGACAGATCACTGACCCTGCTGAAGCTGTACACATTTTCAAAGACATATGGGAACACATCTTCCATCCACATCCACCAGACCAAGCTGTCATAACACACACATTAGACATGGAGGGATGGGTATCCAATCATGAAGACTTAACAAATCCTGATCCTATCATAAACCTAAACACACTTTCCTCCACGCATCCTCTTAACTCTCCTTTTTCTGAAGCCGATGTTCATTCTCTACTAGCACATCTTCCAAAAAAAGCCCCGGGTGCTTCTGGTCTCTCACATTCTGTCCTTCGTCACCTTCCACTTTCTGTTGCTTCCGCTATCACTGACCTCTTTAATGCTTCCCTTACATCTGGTTATTGTCCTCCATTCTTCAAATCTGCTACTGCATGCCTCATACCAAAACCTGGTAAAGACTAGGCTGACCCCAAGAACTATAGACCTATTAGCCTCCTTGAAATCTTGGGTAAGACGTTTGAACGAATTGTAAATATGCGACTCAGAACTCACCTAGAGACAAATAACTTACATACTGAAAGACAATTCGGTTTCCGACAACAACGCTCTACCCAAGACGTTTTGAATATAATCCTGAATAATACACGTATCAATAAGGCCCAGAACTGTGCCACCACCCTTGTCGCCAAAGATGTAGAGAAAGCTTTTGACACTGTTTGGCATGATGGATTAAAATATAAACTTTGCACTTCCTTTGATTTAACTGTAAATATGATGAAATAATTATGTCACTTTTTAGATGGTCGAACGATGCGTATACGATTCAGAGATCACAATTCTGACTATTTCACTTTACAAGCGGGTGTACCCCAAGGCTCTGTCTTGTCTCCCACCCTTTATGTACTCTACACGAACGATTTACCTGAACCTCTATACCCAAGCACACTTACACTTTCTTATGCAGACGACATCACTCAACTCACAGCACATGATAACATTTGTTTCCTTGCACGCAGAACACAAAGAGAGGTCGATAGGATTACCTCCTAGGAATTATTATGGCACATTAAAACCAACCCAAATAAGTTAGAGATCACTTACTTTCATAGAAGGCGCGATGTCCCGACTCCTGTTGAACTCAAAACAAGCACCTCCCGTACCCCCATCCCACGCTCCCCCTCCACAGTTGTTCTTGGTGTTACCCTCGACAACACACTGACTCTAAAATCTCACATTACTGCTAAGACTGCACAGGCTGGGATTGCGCTCTCAATGTTATATAAGCTGAGAGGAGCTAATCCCAAGACAAAACTACATCTATACAAAGCTCTCATTCAACCTCTACTCTCTTACTCTCCACTTGCTCTGACAAACGCACAAAATTCCAACGCATCCAGAATCGTGCATTACGTTGGGTGTTGGGAATGAGGTGGGACGATTTTGCCACCAGCGAATCTCTCCACCTCATGACTAACACACCGGCTTTGAACGTATACTGGAAGACAGTCAGTGACAAGCAACTTGACAGACTTGAAGCATACCATGACTACTGGACTACATATTTAGGAGATACTCTCAGACATCCTTACAATGATGTGAATATCTTGCAAACGTTATACGACCCGACACCTCCACCTCAATACAAATAAACTACCTGACTTATTTAGCCCAACTATTCCAACAATTTTAAAAGTGACATTGTCATAGAGCTGTGTCTTTGTGCGTTTTAAGCAGAAGTGCTTGCGACAGGCGTTTGAGCCACCTTTTGCAGTAACCTGTGCCTGTTCCCCGTCCAGTCGTTGCGAATTGAAGTACTCCCGAGAGTGACACTGCTGAATTTTATGTTTTCCTTGATTAGCAGTTGGGTATAGTCCTGACACTTCTTTCTTCTTAAGATTTTTCCTCTCCCCAACCTATCTTCTTCCTCCTGTCCCCACTTGCCCCTCGCCCCTAGTGGACCCTTACCTGTGAGTCCTCTGTTCTGTTCTGTTCTTTGCTCCAGATTCTCCACCACGATGCTATGAACACTAACTCCAAGGCTGAGGTACTAATTACCTCATCTTCTGTATATAGTTCTACTGTCTTCTAATTATGTCCTAGAATCTGTATTAATAAAGCCAATGGATGGCGAAACGTCTACAATAAAGATATCCAGATGTTGTACATGTGTCTTAACTTTCATTGTATCATTGTCGTATATACACTGAGACACGTATATCTGTCGGTGTATACTCACTGAGAATTCATTTTACTTATTCCATACTTTTTTGAGAGTGAAAAATTCTTTCCTTCCAAAAGTGTGCAAGTAACCATTGTGTGCATAAAATAAAGTTGCAATTAAGCTAAATTTAGTGATAATATAAGAAGTGCAGCTAATGTTCACGTAAATTTAATCCAAATATGACAGTGTGTATTCTACCATTTTCTTTATTATCTTTGACAGCAATACAGAAAACCAATAACTTAGCGGAGACTATAAACTAAATTAAGCTACTTGGAAGTTGTGTAAGAACAGTTTAAATGAATTATTTGTCCTGGTGGATTAGCAATCCAGAATAACCAGCAGTATGGCCAAATAACCAAGCAGTATGGCCAATTTCTGCTGGGATCCTAGGACCCTCTTTTCTAGGGCGCTACCCAGTGTATACTGATAATTGATAACCGTGTAAACTTTTTATTGGTACCCTGCAGTCTCTGAATAATTTTAACTTGTAGAAACAAACAGGTAACTCATTATAAGCCAGGCAAACTGTATGTCCACGCCGAAAGATTTGGCTTACTTCTCAGTATGTATAATCTCTATATACATAAGATAAGATTTTCTTCGGATTTTTTAACCCCAGAGGGTTAGCCACCCAGGATAACCAAGAGAGACAGTGTGTCATCGAGGTCTGTCTGTCTTACATCCATTGGGGTTCTCAATCTTGCCTCCAGGATGCGACCCACGCCAGTCGACTAACACCCAGGTACCTACTTGTTAGGTATACAGGACAACAGGTGTAAGGAAACGCATCGAAATATTTCCACCCCACCGGGAATCGAACCTGGATCCTCAGCGCGTGAATCGAGAGCTTTGCTAGCTGTGTCTCACGAACTGCCTTTTTTATAAGTTAAAGAAAGTTTGATATATCAGTTGAAAGCTTCATATCCACTGTCAGTAACAATGATAATAATAATAATAACAACAACAACAAATACAACAACAACAACAATAATAATAATAATAATAATAATAATAATAATAATAATAATAATAAATAATAATAATATTAATAATGATAACAACAACAACAACAATAATAATAATAATAATAATAATAATAATAATAATAATAATAATAATAATAATAATAATAATATCTTTATTTCTATAAGTACATGTACAAGGTATACAGGCCTAGCTGATATCAGTGACATACTACTATATAGAAAGCCACTTGTTATGCTCTCAGAGCATTTCGGGCAAATTACGTCAGTTTTGTCCCAGGATGCAACCCACACCAGTTAGCTAACTCTCAGGTACCCATTTTACTGATGGGTGAACATAGAAAACCAGTGTGAAGAAACACACCTAATGTTTCTACCCTCGCTGGGAATCGAACCCAGACCCTCCGCCGTGTGAAGCCAGAGCTTTAGCCATGTGACGTGTATAGAGCAACAGAGTAACAGTAAAGACTTTAATCAAAGGGAAATATTCAAATTTCATTCCTTTAAACATTCTGTATTTTTCTTGAGGAAAAATACATAGGAGTTTTCACACTCTTATCTTGCTCTTGAGAACTCGTGAACATGAGTTCATAGAATGTAATAATTTATGACGCATTTGCAACTTTAACATCGAACTGGATGAAATGATTCCTGGTCAGGTGAACAACGTCCTTGAGAAATTTCAACTCTTCTACTACTTACACCTGTTTTTCAGGTGACTTGATAAAAATCTACGCAGAATGAGAGAGAGAGAGAGAGAGAGAGAGAGAGAGAGAGAGAGAGAGAGAGAGAGAGAGAGAGAGAGAGAGAGAGATCCACTTCGAGGACAGCGTGAAACAAGCTTTTATGCCACAAGACGGGCAGAAAGTAGCAACTTCACTCTGGCTGTACCCTTCTCCAGAACATCACTCCATCTGAGATCATATATACCCAGGATGACTCGAGTATGGAACACATTCGTACAGCATAATGATGTTAACGAGATAACGTAAGTTGAGCAAATGAAAATGCTGGCCCACAGATGGCTCCAACTTCATCCTGTTCCCTACTTGTATGTCTCATAACAATAAAAATGCTTTCAGATGAGCTGATGTAGGTAACAGCTCTTAGCTTGCAATAAAGTTAGGAATCCTTAACTCCTTAACCTTGTCAAACCCTGTGTAAAAAAAAAAAAAAAAAAAAAAAAAAAAAAAAAAAAAAAAAAAAAAAAGAGAGAGAGAGAGAGAGAGAGAGAGAGAGAGAGAGAGAGAGAGAGAGAGAGAGAGAGAGAGAGAGAGAGAGAGAGAGAATGTTATCCAAGTGAATGTTTGTTCAGTAATTTGTCTCTTCGTCTTCATATCCAAAATATACGTATCCGTTAAGTACAGCAGGAAATATCTTACAATAGTCATTTTTTACATTTGGAATATTCGTAATAGTTTCCACACAACTTTGTGGTGTATGACAAGATAAGATAACAGTATGAACCTGATAAGACTCCCCGGAGGTCTGCTTCGTCATTATTTGAGATACCAAGTATGATGCGAGTGTTGTCTTCAGTGTTGACCCATAACACCGAGTGAAGGAAATAAGATAACTGGCAAGAGAACAGTGGAGAGCGAAGAAAAACTGAAAAAGGTGCCACGTTGCAGGTGAAGTTTGCAGCGCCGAAGCATCAAAAGATGAATGGGTTAGCGAGAATGAACAGGTAAGTAAAAGGAGGTAACGGAGGCTTCAATTATCTGTATGAGACAAAATTGATCTACTTCTCATAACTGGAATCCTAATAGGTGCTTTATCTGCAGCCTTTAAGTAATGTGATGATAATTTAATAAATATTTTTTTTGAATTCATCCTAATTACTAAAAAAGGGTAGTTGTATCAATGGAAGAAACCCCCTCCCCCCCTTTTTTTAAATTCTTGTGTGTTTACAAATTCTAATTTGCAGACAGAAACGATCAAGGTCCCAGAACCGAAACATTTTCTAAAAGTCAAATTCTAATAACACTGAGCAACATCTACCTGTTCTTAATCGAGTAGTTTGGGCATACCAAACAACCTCCATTTGCTATAGTGATGTTCCAGGAGACATTAAAAAATAATTATAGTTCTGAGTGTACCAAGTTAGACGTAAGGTTTTCAATGGACCACACAGTAACTTCTGACATCCAAGATCATAACTCGATGAACCTGACTACCATCCTTAATTAAAATCAATGCATTATTCGTGAAGCATAGACGCTAGTGGATTAATGTCAGAGGAGAATCCTAGTATACAAATGGCAATGAAAATATCACAATGACAAGCCGATATCTCACATAAAGTACTGAGGTACTTGTTACCAAGAATAATTATGGCTTCAACAATATCCCTCATTCTAATACTTTCAAACTTCCTACTTTCAAACTTCCTACCACTACCAACAATAACATCACAGGCACTACTCTCACAACCACCACCACTGCTGCTACTACTATAACTATTACTACTATTACTTACATACTATCGTAATTTTTAACACTAGTATTTTCTAAAACAGTTATATGACTATAATAATAATTAACACTTAGAAAATCACTTGTCCACCTAGTTTATCTAAACGTCCCACTGATATGATTTTTTTTCACAGCATGTTCGTGATAGATGGTTGCTGTGGGCTGTCACTGAGGACCGGGGCGCTGATCATTGGTGTGCTGGATATGGTCAGCACAGGTGGTGTTTGTTGGGATAGATGGAAAACAAAATTAATCCTGCTGCAGGTTTCAGTCATATGATATAATGCTTTTAGTGGAGATTTCGATAATTGAATTGAAGCCTTCTGCTAGGCTTGCCGGTTCTTCACATTAAAATATGTATGTTTCTCACCAATGTATGAAGAAGGGATTTTTTTTTTTCCTGTCGCGAGGTAATAAAGGATTCTCTCTGTTGCTGTAAATGTTATCTGTTCAGAAGACTTGATAATGATCGACCAAAGAGATACTATAATGATTCTTTTTATTTATTATTATTATTACTCTTCATTATTATTATAATTATTATTATTATTATTTCATAAAAGAGAAATTAAAGTTAACTTTCAGTAAAAGCATACATATATTCACATAAAACTGAGTGGGAATCGTACTCTTGCAAACCCATGATGTTTACAGGAGGAACAACAACAGGCTCTTATATTCAGGTGATTCTGCAGATGCTACCAACAGCAACGTCAACAACAATATTTATTATTGCTTTCTTACCTCACGACAACTCATGTCGAGATCTAGATCTTGCACCTTCAAGGAAAGGAAGTAATCAAAGACTGTAACTAAATTCTCGTTAAAGTGGGCAGGAACCAAACCCGTGACTCTACCAGTAAGGTTTAAAGACGACTCTCGGTGTATATACACTGAGAGATTCACACCTTTCCGTGTGTACAGTATGTCCTGTGTATTCCTTGTATGTATTTTGATGAATTTACTTGTTAAATCTTAAAAATATTAAAAGTAATAATAATAATAATAATAATAATAATAATAATAATAATAATAATAAATTTATTATTATTATTATTATTATTATTATTATTATTATTATTATTATTATTATTTTAATTATTATTATTTTCAAGAACGATAAAAAATATTGGTAATACCGGATTAATAGATAATTTAATTATAAGCTCTTGAGGGGCATTAATGTATCATTTTTTTTTTCCAAAAATTAAGTTTAAAAAAGTGTTTGTGAGATTGTATACAAATGTTCAGGTCTTCAGGTGTTTGGGGTCTGTAAACAGTTGTTCCTGTCTACAGGTGTTTGATTCGCTGCACCTGCTGGGAGGAGTTGCAAACCTCGTTGGAACTTCAGGTCAATAAGGCTTCAGTTGAACCATTATTTATTACTCGTTGGGATTTTGTATTTTATATTCGTATAGTGGTGGTCTCCTTTACTGTGCAAAAGGAAAGAAGTGAGTATACGTATCATCTGGCTTTCCGTATAGTATACCATTTCGTTTTGTGCACATAGTGAGCACAGGAATTTTTTTCTAAATACAAGTGAATGGAAGTATCGTCTCAATTTTCTGTGCAAAGGAAATATTGTTCTGCTCAGAGTGAGTATAAGTAACGTGTCTGTTATTTGTACAGAGTAGAAGTATTCCCCTTTTCTGTATTCTTTTATTTTTGTACATAGTGGCTTTCTGTATAAACCTTGATAATACCAGCAAATTATTCAAAAAAGGACACATGTACAAAGATGCTTGCACATGTGTTTGCTCAAGTACCGATATAAAGTGCTGATTTTTTTTTCCATGTGTATCTCTCTACACTTAATGTTTATATGTGTAATAAAAATGGGTAAAAAGTAATTTTGTCATGTAATGAATGCTCTACACATGACTGTGTTCCAAGTTAAGTGTCACAAGACAGTGGCTGAGCCAATACCATCTAAATAATAACCTAAAAGTATATTGAAAATATCTGTACACTTCGTACCTGAAAAATACGAGGTGATTCGTTGATAATCATTTATCCTTGAACAAATGCCGAAGGATCGAGCCTCCCAAACTCCTTATACCGAGTGATTATTGACCCATAAAAACTAAGTTTCGAGCCTCTATCATTTTTGGCGCTGAACGACCCACAAGGCCGGAGGATCGAGCGTCTACCACTCCTTGTATTAAATAACCCACGCGGGTCCAGCGTTTCATGAATTACAACACAATGTGAAAGACACTTTTTCCACGGCAGAAATAATACATAGAAAATCTTTCATGGCTTGCCACACGTAAAATATGCTAAACGTTTGCTTATATGTTTAGGAGATAGCATAAATGAACATATCCAACAGCATATGCTTCTAAATTTAATGAGTATGCATTATCATATATGCATAAGTTCCTTGCAATCCTGAATGCAAAGAGAATTGCAGATAAATTAAGACACACGAAGAGAGTGAACTACTTAGGTCTCTCTCCTTGGAGCTGCATTAAATAACTAGACTTAAGTCTTAGTCAAGTACCTAGTGTTAAGTCTTTGAAGCATCTATAAACATGTCTCTCAGGCACTGTGTCACCTGCCCAAGTTGCAGGTGACACAGAGCCTGAGATGCAGAAGAAATTGCTCTAATGACTGAGCTGGAGCACTGATTCATAAGCAAAATTTTATGTGTATACACTCCAGTTCTTCAAAACACACTTGCGATATCCTTCTGTAGGTGTGTACATTAAGGAAGGGGACAGCAAGGACCCGTGGATAGTGGCGTTCCTGGTGATGGAGATGCTGGTGGGAATAGTCGACTTCATATTCTCAGCGGTGCTCCTCAATGGCGTTCACAAGGTGGGTACTCAACACCTCCTTTATTTACTAAGAGTAGACAACAGTGACGGCTTCAGAATTTCTGTACAGGAGAGGAATAGAGGTGGCAGTCCTAGTTAGAAGAGGGCTAGGGGACTTGTCTTGTTATTAAAATTTGTTATATTATTATTATTATTATATTATTATTATTATTATTATTATTATTATTATTATTATTATAGGAGACTTCAACCCATGCATCACTTCGGTGCCGCCACTGGTGGACAAAAGGTTACATAAAATGATAAATATAAGTGGCTTTCCCAGGGAGGCACACAACAATCAAGGGGAGAGAATCTTACAGCCGATGATTTCTATCAAGTTCTATAGCTAAGCCTTAATGCCGACATCTACGCATATCTCTTGTATGGCTCATTGATAGTTGGACAAGTGTTTTAATAGCTGAGTAAAAATTCCATACATGAGATACCCGGGTTATGTTTTTTTTTCTGCTCATCAAGAGAGCATCTATGATCCTTAACAAAATACTCTTCGACGATCTGAGCAACGATTCCGTAGTCTCGGTCTTGTAATTAACGAACTAAGGATCGAGCCTCTACCACTTCTTACGCTGAATGACTCAGACGTTTATAAGTATTAGTGCTAGTACTGTTATGAATAATAATAATAATAATAATAATAATAATAATAATAATAATAATAATAATAATAATAACAATAATGACAATATTGATAACTAATAATAATAATAATCAGGATAGTTAATAATAATAATAATAATATAATAATAATAATAATAATAATAATAATAATAATAATAATAATAATGTAATAATAAAAATATTAATAATAATAATCCGGAAGATAATGTCTGAGTGTTTGTGTTCCTGCACCAGGAGAGCGTGAAGAAGGTTATGGCGTGGTGGTGGTGGACGTCTCTGCAGCTGCTGATGCAGGTCATTTTCTTTATCGCGTACGCGATCTTCAAGGAGGTTATCACCGGCCTGCTCATCGTAGTTGCCGCTTTAATCCTCGCCCTCTCTGTGTTCTCCCTCGTCGTGGTCCGCTCCTACGCTTTTTCTGTGAGTTGATGCCAAACATGGATTTCGCTTGTCTTCTGCCTTTTCCTAGTCTGATTCTATTTCACTCTGTGAGTTTGCTGTCTTCTACAGTAGAGTAGAAGACAAGGCACCTTAAATTGTTTTCTACTGACAGTTGTCTTGTAATCTGTCTCCTACTTTGTTTACTCCAATTGATTCTGCAGAAGTAAGACTATGTGCTCCGCTAAGCTTTTTACAAGCTAAATATTTTGCCAAGAGCATTTTAAATGCTAAATCCAGCTATATGGTTTTCGTAGAAATATATACATATATATATATATATATATATATATATATATATATATATATATATATATATATATATATATATATATATATATATATATATATATATATATATGCCTGTGTGTTTTTTAAATGTTCGAAGCAAAGTGAAACTGGTTTCACTGTTGAGCCAGAGGTTTCATTTTCTCAGTCGCACATGCCCAAAGTAACATCTGCTCTTATTTTATTCGTTTCAGCTGAAGAAGAAACTGACAAGCGAAATCCTTATTCAAGAAAGAGAAGAAATGATAGACTTATAGAGGAGCTCGCTCGACTTCCTTCAGAGATGCAAGAAAAGGATTACTGATGACAAGTAAGGAGATTAAGAAAAAGGATTTACTGGTACAATGGGTAGAGGTTTATAAAGTCATCTGTGTAGCAGACTGAAATGTTGTCCCAGTAAAGCTTGTTTTGCAGCTTGTGTCTTGGTTTTGCAGAGACGAAGCATTTGAACAACAACAGTAATTTTAGTACGAACGAGAGTATACTCGCAGGGAAACCTTTGTTACTGGATTTTGTTAAAATATGATGCCTGATGAAGCCCTGTCTTGGACAAAACGTCGTAATAATGGTTCTCCTGCTAACTGCGTATATCTTACTATGTGTCAGCTTACGCCATCTTTCAGCCGCTTCTTTTAGTGGGCTAGGAACTCAGACTTGTGACAGTAATACCAATGGAATTTCATTACCTTAACAAGAAGCTGAGTTCTATTTGGGTTATGTTTATATTAGCCTCTTAAAAGCTATTTAGCTTGCAGAACACAGAGGTAATGAGCAGTTCCTAGAAGTTGCTGCAATGGTTATTTTTTGCTGCCCAAGTTGTGAATGGTGAAAATGTTCTTGAGATGCACTACGTTCGTCCTCCCATTGCTTGTGGTTTCCTGCTTGATTTAATGTCCACTCTTTCATCAGAGAGCTAATTCCAATTAACTTTTATGGTAAAGAATGAAGATTGAGACACTGATGCAGCATATAGGAATCTTTATTCAGGAAACGTTTCGCCACACAGTGGCTTCATCAGGCCAATACAAAGAGGAAGGCGTAAGGAGAGGAGGAGTATGGAGTATGAGGTAATCAGTCCCTCAGCCTGGAGTCGATGTGTTCAGTCCATCGACTCCAGGCTGAGGGACTGATTACCTCATACTCCATACTCCTCCTCTCCTTACGCCTTCCTCTTTGTATTGGCCTGATGAAGCCACTGTGTGGCGAAACGTTTCCTGAATAAAGATTCCTATATGCTGCATCAGTGTCTCAATCTTCAACTTGTCGGTTTTTCAAACCATTCATCACACACATGGTAAAGAATCACTGATCCCAGTAACAGCATTTGGTAAATACATAATATGACAGAAATGCAAAAATTTAAGGAGCTAACCAACTCATTCAATTTTCTTGTGTCTCTGTTTATGAGTTTACTCAAATACTGACAAATGTTCATTACACTTCAGAGTTCAGTCAGCATTTTATAATGCTGACTGAATTATTACATGATTATTACAGGATTATTACATAATTATGAGCTAATATTATTACAGGATTTTTACATGATTCTGAGCCAATATTTGGTTAGAATACATGTCAAAACATGGTAGAGTTCCAGAGAAAATGAAATTAGTTTAAAAGCAATATATTTCTCTCTGAATTATATATAGTTAAGGATTTAATGTAAAAGAGAGTAGCTTGTTGCTGAGCATTTTCAATTATGTGGAAGTTAACTCACTTTCTTGTGTGTTTTAAATGGACGATGAGTTGATTCTAAGATATTCCATGAATAAGGTTAAATATAATTATTAAATGAGGACTATATAAATGTGCAGCAAGATAATAATAGATTTATGCAAAATATTTACAAAAGAATTATAATCAAGTCAATACAAAGAATATGACACAAAAATATAGACATGTTAAAGCTTGAGGTAGTGTGTCCGTCCACCTATATTATACCTGATAAAGTACATAGATAAAAGTGATCACAGTAATTATATGTTTCATTTCTTACCCGAAAACATATATAATGTACGTATATAAGGGATTCTTGATAGTGTTGCACTGAGGACAACGTCTATTTTATTTTGGGATACAATTTGTTTTCTTCCACTCCATCCCAAACTGATAGTTGAATAAAATGATGTTGTGGCGCTTAGTTTCCATGTGTGTTGAACATCACGATGTTCCAGGGACTGTAAACATGTTTCTGAAGTTTGCTTTCCGTATTTGTTAAACATGAATACAATTTACAATATACTAGGAACAATTTGCAATTTACTCAGAACACCGTAGAGATCCTCAGGAGCTCACAGCGTTGGCGTCTTATTTGTTAGGAAATAAAGACAAAGCTAATGTTTATAGTATACAATATACTTGTTTATATAAGCAATGTTCCTGGACTCCTGATTTGAATATCTTTTCTTTTTCAGGGGAACCGTAATGTTGCTTCTTCTTGTTATAAACATTAGGTCCCAGGGACACTCATGTTTACTTTCATTTAATGCTGTATACAAAAGGTTCTCGGAACAGCGTAAAGATCTCCAGTGGTTCACAGCGTTGGCGTCTTCTTTGTTAGGAAATAGAGATAAAGCTAATGTTTATGGTATACAATGTAATTGCATATATAAGCAAGTACATTTGGATATCTTTTCTTTTCCTGATTTAGATGTCTTTTCTTTTTCCGCTGTTACTCCCACTACTCCTCAGGCACAATACTCGATTATTTAGGCATACTTGATCCGAAATCACTTCTTGTGCTTCATAACTCTGCCATCTGGTGCAACTTTTGTAGCCTCGGTATTCATGCTCAGAACACACAAACATTTAGTCTCTTGTATTGTTCCAGGCTGCTGGAGACCCACGTGGTAACAATACTCTCAGTTCTCTCGTTACGATCAGTTAAACCTATTAACCAACCAAACTTAAAGTGCTAATGTACCGGTGAGTTTCTGTCATAATATCCCTAATACAACCAATGCTTGATCATTTAACCTAACATTTTAACAGCATATGAAAAAGATATATACAATGTGATGTACAGTATATATCTCATTGAGTAAGTAAGTTTATTCAAGTATACACAAATACAGTTACATAGATTATCACACTTAACAGAATATGTATAGAGAACCTAGAATAACCCAAAAAAAAGTCAGACAGTGACTTGGGGTCCTTTTAATACCTCATTATTATACTATAAAGGAGATAATATCTTATTATACTATAATGGAGATTTAATAAGAATAGGGTAAAATGACTTATTTATATTTACATGTGTTAGCTAAAAAAATGAAAAAGCATTCTCCTCCCTCTCTGTCGCTACATTCATCAGGCACCTTTTGGCTCTCTTCTTGAATTGGCTCATGCTATGACTGGTTTTGACATGTGCAGACAGTCTGTTTCATTTCTTTATTGCTGTACAATAAAAGATATTTGAAGCCTGGCCACTGACTGTGGGTACTACAAAGTTGTGCTCTCTTCCCCTGGTACTATGACTGCTTTGGCTCCCAGCCGTGACAAAACTGGCAGCAAGACATTCTGGACTCTGTGAGCAATTTTATAAACTTGATTTAACTTTAGCCGTTTTACTCTGTCTTCAACATTCAGCATATCCAATTGTTGTAATTCCTCCTGGTCTACATGTTCTCTTGGACCCAGGTCCAGTATGAATCTTTCCATTTTGTTCTGGGAGATTTGCAGTCTATCTTACAGTTTTTTTGTCAAGGCAGAATACCTTGAAGATCAAGCGTAGTTCATATGGCATTGTAAGGGCTAGATGCAGGGTCTTGCGAGTCTCTGTAGGTAGACACTGTGCTTGTCTGTAGAGGAACTTCAGTGTGGCATTCGCTTTCTTTACTTCACTGTTCCGTATCAGTTCTCCTGACATGCATGGGTCAAAGGGGATTCCCAGATATTTTACTGAGGAAACTGAAGTGATGTGTTCCCAATTACACCGGACATTAAAATTATTTGCCCTTCTCAGTTTGTTTCTTGCCAAAGAGTATGGCTTCCGTTTTCCCGAGGTGTAACGATAGTTTGTTTTCTACTAACCATTTGCTGCAGGACTCCAATTCAGTGTTATTACATTAGTTATATCTTGTGGGTCTTTACCTGACACTAACATAGCACTGTCATTCGCATACAGTAGGGGTTGCACTTGACACTGATGGGCATGTCGTTTACGAAACATAGGAATAATAAGGGACCCAGAATACTACCTTGGGGAACTTCACATACTATCGGCAAGGGTTCTGATTCTGTTTTACTGTTTTGACAGTTTGTTTTCTGTTAAGATAGGACTTAAACCAGTCTACGGAACCTATGCCGATAGCTTGAAGTGTCTTACGTATCGAAGGCCTTTTAAGGTTACCGTTCCTATGAGGTTCCCTATCGACATTACAGTTCTCATGTAATCCATCAGATTAATTAGGGAGGTGTCGGCTGAATAAGATCTCCTAAAGCCTGACTGGTAACTATGAAGAATGTTGTTGTCATTAAGATACTAAACTACTTGACAGTACACCGCCCTCTCTAGAATTTTGGATAATAAGCTGAGTATACTAACAGGCCTATAGTTGCTGACATCAGACCTATTTTTTCTTGAAGACAGGAGTAACTCTGGCCTTCTTGAACCCCTCTGGAACGGTATTAGTGGTAATGTACAAATTTATTATGTGAGCAATGGAGATTGGCAAGTCAGAAGCACCATCTTTCAGGAGCTTAGTTGGGATATTATCTGGGCCGGTGATCTTATTTGGGTTTAACCTGCTTAGTTCTTTTTGCACAAAGTCATGAGATACACTTATTAGTTGACAACTGTTTGGGGTTACCCCTTTATTGGTATTACAACCTAGGATTTCAAATGGCCTGTTATCCCAGGTGTAATGGGAGCAAATAAACACAGTAGAAAAAGTTTAGACTTATATTATCCTTCACCAATTTAGAACAGCAATATGTACACTATGTACAGTGATAAATATAGTGCACTCCACGGTAAGCAAGGCAGAAATAGAAGCCACAAGATAGCAGACCGTGCTTCAACCAGCTCTAGAATGGGAATGACAAGGGCAGACAGGAGAGCGGTATCCACATAACCTCTGCGATTGTCAATCCCACCTTCTTATTGGCTAGAACCTGGTCACTAGTTGAACGATGGGGCCCCATCATCAACTCTTAGCAACCTGGTTCGCTGGTTGGGGGAGATAGCCTGTAAATGAGGGTGTGTCCATGCGCCGAATAAAGGTTACGTACTCTTTGCATGCCACAATTGGTATAGTATGTTTTAAACTTATCAGTCTGTTTTAAAGGTATTTGATGCAGCTGGTAGTTTACTTACTAGTGTTGATGCGAAAGATGTCGTAGAAATTAAAACAATTTACCACTCTAGTTGTTTCGTGGCATACCTCGTTATCGATATATAGTATTATGTTATACCCCAACTGTTTTTGTTGTTGCCAGAGCTTTCTACACTCTGTTCCTCACCCTTTGGAATTCATTTAGTGCTGCAATATCTTGTCTGTTTACCTTAAATCTTTTTAGCAGCTGGTCTCTGAATTTTATATTTTCTAATATCTCAATAGTCATCCAGGGTTCGGTTCTCCGTTTAATCCTAACCTCTTTCACTGGTGCAATATTATCAAGGATGGTAGTGAGCATTGTTTTGAAGTTTTCCCCAGGCATCATTTACGTTCGTGCAACTTGTTATCACTGTCCAATCATAATTGTGTAGCCTACTTACCAGTGTTTCTTTACTGTAGTTTCTAGCTGACCTCATTTTTATTGTCCTGTGTAGGCCTATCCGTTCCCTAGTGATTTTCCTGGTGCAGTAAATGATGAAATGATCACTAAGGCCTGTGGTAATGGCGTCTGACTGACTAAATTTCAGAACTGTTACAAAGTATGTGGTTAATTAGGGTAGCTGAGAACTGTGTGATCCGGGTTGGTGTATTAATTAGTTGAGTTTAACAATTTAAATCTAGAATTTGCTTATACCTTTTACATAGCCCGTTATTTTGCTGTTGATGACAGATAT